CTTGGCGAGTGATCAGCTCGTCACAAGTCCTCTACCTAAACATAGGATAACACAAACACCAAACATCTATGCCTTGTGTGGGATACGAACCCACGATCCCGGCTTCCGAGCGAGCGAAAACAATGCATGCCTTAGACAGCTCGACTACCGTGACAAATGCTTCATAAAACTACAGAAACAAATGATGGCTAATAATGACTGCAGCACGTGCTTCAAGCTGGTAGGATCGAAGCAGTCTTCAGTATATCAAGTTGTGTCATGAACAGACCTGGACCACTGTTTGCTCTTAGCCTCAGAAGAAGCTGAGCCAGGATTGAAGACATCCATTAGGACCTAGGGTCTCGCATGAATATCAAACAGGTGGAAGCCGGATAACAGCTCTACAGAACACAACTTTAACCTCGCGGAACGAATTTAAACAAAAGGGCCATAAGTGAGTGTAAGTGCCACTAGTGGGAGTGACGTCATCAGGTGCCAATGCTTACAAGGAGTAGATATACAGGCCAGCAAGAAAGTAAGATGGATAGATTATGTGGCGCTTGCTTGCACGTGGTGTTATGAGAAATAAACTTAGAACCTACTGAGAAAGAATGGAAATGCATTCAGTGCCACTTTGCGTGACCTCGACGTGTACTTATTATAAGTAAGGTTAAGTTATCCACGTGATTAACTAATTAAGCACTAATCCAAGAAGGCGTGTGGGGGACTGGATGTTTTCTTGACCTCGGCACTAGCTGGAGGTGAGTGATCAACTTCATGCCACGACCGCTTTACCCCCCGGGAGTCATTGGATAGGGGGCTTGCCGCTTCAACCCCAGGGAAAGAGCCCCCGGTGCCCAATTGATAGAAGGATGGGCGGGTCTCAAGGCCGTTCTGGACGCTATGGAGAAGGGAAAGATTTGTTGCTATGCAGTTACTCCTGAAGACCTAACTCATATTGCATATGCCCAATAGCATAAAAGCTCGTATAACGTGATGTCTAGGATTACATTTTGGCATGTATGAATTTCTTTAAATGAGTTTTTAAATTTCACAAGCGGGAAACAAAGTTGAAGTTGCTAGACACAGGAGGTGACTGGTTAGTTTCACGCTTCGACCAGTTCACCTCTGCGGAAAGTGATACCTTCTGGATTGGAATGCATGCAGTTCAAACAGCATCATTAAATAACCCATAGCAGTGAATGGACGGAACATTCCATTTGTATATAGCGTAAAATATCTAGAGGTAATCTTCGATAGGAAAATTACATGGAGATTGTACACGGCTTTCCAACATCGTACGTACTTGTATATGCAGGCAGCAAACAGAAGTCATACAAAATCATGACAAGTCGAGGCCCAACACTTAAAATATAAGCATACGACCGTTCAAGTGACTAGACTGCCGTTATAGCTTGAGCTTCTAAGGACTGGGCATGATCTCTCCTGAGAGTGGTCTGACAGAGGTCTTGTATATATTGCATATACATACTCATTTTATACCATGTAATAACATGCAGACTGTAAATATTATGTACATAGTGACAACTGACTTGTTACTGCTGTGACTGACAAATGCAGACTCGTCCTCTCGTCAGAGAGGACGCGTCAGACGGACAAAATCGTAACTGTCGTAACATTTACAAATATCTGGTCATGAGCCCCAGAAGGGTCTCAATACTAGGGCGGGCAGACTGACTGACTGACTGACCGACTGACTGACAGATTGACACCGTCGGTTGCAAACCGACTGACTGACTGACCGACGGACCGACCGACCGACCGACCGACCGTCGGTTGCAACGTGGCTTTGACTTCTGTTGACTCTTCTGTAGTTTCGTTACAAAACTGGTTCTACTAATTCGATTCTCCATATGTACGTAGTCAATTCGTGTAGTCCAGATTGTAGTCTTCTGCATTGTGATATCTGTAGTGTTGTAGCAACGTTTCGGTGGAATATGCCGCGTCCATCTTCCGATAAAAGAAAGTGGCCACAGAACTGGTCTTGCCGAAGAACGCAGTTTCTGCTGAAATCCTGAAGACAACCTCCAACATACGAAACAATGTCGTCATGAACCGTTTCCCAAAAAGATTTTATCGCATCTAAGAGAATACGATGGGTGGCCACCTTAATGAATTAATTAATTGAACATACGGGCATAATAGTAATAGTGGGAGTCGAAGGGAGAGGTAAAGTTCGGTAATTAGCGGAAGAATTTAGAGAAGAACATAAAACAGAGGATGAGAGACAAAAATGAAACAGTAATTAATATAAATTTAATATAAAAAACGGTAGTTAGAGCTCTCTTTTCTTATTTGTCGTCACGGTGTAACCGCACGCGATGTTTCATGACAGAACAATATACAGTTCCCAATATATAAATGTCTATACACAAAATATCTTATTAAGAAGCGTCGTTATGTAGTTGTTACCAATGCCACATTTATGCGTGAGGTCCCGGGTTCAATTCTGTCCCCCGGGGATCGACAAGCATGACTAAGATTTTCCGTGGTATCTCTCCAATCCGTAGTGAGGCTGGAAGGATTAATTCACTTGAAAAATGTAATGACCTCATCGTGAATCAAACACGCTACCTTCCGGCTTCCAGCATAGTGCCTCAACTAACTACGCTAGCACGTATCCCAATTACGTGACTTAAAAATGCTTATATTTTGAGATAAATCACTAAACAAAATGCAAGAGTATAGAAAAAGAACAGCCTTATAGTGACAGACACAAAACCTACACCTCTTGCTTGTGCATTTCGGGTCTGAAAAGATGGCACAATTCTGAAACCCCGGTCGCCTTCTTCGGGGTGGCTCTTTCTAGTACAGAACAGATTACGTGACCTGCAAATCCTTTCGGATACCAACCGATGCGCAACAGCATAGAACAAAAAGCACAGTAACAGATATATAGATTATGAAATGAAATAAAAGAACACAGGAACAGCGAATAGGAAAAAAATAATAGAATCATGTCACGCGTAGTCGTGACTGGAGTACGTTGTTCACAAATTATTGTACTTGTATTTCATTTTGTTGTTATCAAGATCTCTGCTTGACAAGACGCAGCACATCATAGAACATTATAGCCTATATTTAAAACCAATTATAATAAGGAGCCGAATGAAGACCCTCACCCCCCCTTCCCCTTATAAACATTAAGACAATGGGGGGTCATTTAAACATATAGTACCATGTCATGCTCAACAGCCATCCATGTTGAATTTCCGACCAAACTTCTCCTATTCTGCCTGACTGACATCACAGTAAACCAGCTGTCGAATTTAAGTGGTCAGCAGTTCGAATCTGGGCTCAGGGAACGGCTGTCCTTGCTAACAGTCTTCATGGTTTCCCTCTGTTTCTTGAGGCAAAAGTGCTGGGAGTCTATGACGGCTTCCTTTGGCATTCTTTCGAATTCATTGTAACGTTCGATACGATATTAGCTACTTAATTGCAGAAGCATCCATAATATAAACCAAAAATCAATTGGAACCATAAAACACTGTTATGACCAGGACCCGGGTTTTGATGACCTGGAAATATTTAAAAAGTGACCTATAAAATGACCGAAAAATCCAGAAAAATAACCTAAAGGAGAAAAGAAAGAACACTTCGCTTCCATGTTATTGACATTTCAGAAAACATATGAAGAAAAATTCCATAAAATGGCCAAAAATGACAAGAAAGACCCTTAAAAGTCCAAAAATTTACCAAAAAATTACCTATAAAATTTACATTTCGGTAACCAGCAGCTCATATCCGAGATTTATATATTTAAGAGTATCGCATAGGACACAAGGAAAAAAAGATGACGTCATCAAAATCCGGGGCCTGGTTATGACTCTTTACTCCATGGATGAAAAAGCTTCGAACTGGAATCTAAATGATGTAATATTTCCCATAAAATAGAAGTTAATTTGCCCCTACCCCAAACACCACAACTTGAAGAATTAAAAATGAATGAAAGCAAAGCTCCACCCACTCCTTACCGTGGCACTAAGGGGGGGGGGAGTAGCTAGCTAAGCGTTCCGGTCGCTTTTTTCACAAAGGAAGATTCTTAGGAATACGCTGGATGGGCCCCCGGGTTTGTTTAAAGAGGCCCTTTCTGGCTTTCCAGCCTGTAGCAGCCGCTCATTTCAGTGACCGAAACACGGCGACCCACAGCACACATACGTTTAGCCATAGCGAGTAACCGCGTGCAGTTGACAGCAAACACCTCAGTAGCTGTAGTGCATGGGACGGTTACCCGCGTCATACCGAATGATTTTCCCTATTTTGTTGATCGTCTCTTTCGTGCTCCCTTTTGTCCCTTCACTTTCAATCTCTTCCCCTCTTCTTTGCTTAATTCTTCAACCTTTCTTTGCCGTCCTACAGTTCTTTCTTCTTATACTTCACGTTCTGTATTCTACATTTTATTTATGTCTTCTTCCTTCTTGTCTTACATTATTTCCTTATTTATTTCTTCTGTACTCTTTATTTCTGTCTTTCTCCCTTAAATTCTTTGTTCTTCCTAATTTCTTCCTGTTTTCTGTTCTTTAATTCTTAGTTTCTTCCTTGCTTCCTTTGCTCTTTTTCCATTTTATTAGTTGTTTATTTCTTTCCTTCTTTGGTCTACACTTTCTTGTTCCTTACCCCCATTCTTTTTCTTCCTCTATTTCATTCTTCCTCACTCTGTTCATTTCCTTGTTCCTATGTTTCTGCTTTTAATCCTGCTTTCGCGCTATTTTCGGTTTCCTTCTTCCTTGCCACTTCGTCTCCCGTTATTCCTCCCATTTTACCTTTCTTCTTCTCTTCCTCTACACCATCCTGCCTTGCTTTCTTCTTCCCTCGCTTCTTTCATCTGTCTGTGGCAGCCATTAAGTGGTACGATATGTCTGCCATGCGCAGGTTATATTTACACTGTGCCTTGAGCAAACACACTCTAAGCCTACATATTTAGAAATAATGCATAACGTACATACAAGCCAGGTCGGTGGGTTAAGTACCTTAAATGATTTACGGACCCTTTGTTTCAGGAGATGATGCGTGCCGCTATCAGCCATCATGTTGTCACGCGACTGATGGTACACGTCGCCATGTTGGCTTCCCTCTTGAATCCTTCCGTATCTTTCACCACCGCCAACACTACGGAAGAGTCCGACCAAGAGGCCCGCCCAGGTAACTTTCATTTTGGTTCCCATATACGACGATCTGTGTTCTTCTGTCTGTCAACATGTTCCTACTCTGAAAGTACTGAACCGATTTCGATTAAATTTAGTTTTAGGGAATTTACAAACTGTGAATAAAATTTAATTGCTGTTTGTATAGGGGAAAAGAAGCCATAATTTACACGAAGCTCAAATCAATATCTATCGTTTTGAATATTGCTGTTTTCTGTAACTTGACACCGCATATTCTGCGAGAATATTACGAGCGTCTTGACTGAACCTGCTGCGTACGTCTAGGGTTTCCGAAACCCGGTTCATCCTGTAAGATTGGTGTACGATATAAACTATGGGCCAGGTCTCATTAGGCTCTGTAACTTTACTTGGAAACACCTGTATATATGAAATATTTAATGAGATAGAATAAAACATTTTCTTTTTCTGACGATATCACATCTGTGATGTGATTAGGTTAGCTCGCTGGAGTTAGTTGCTGATATTACCTCCTACTGCTACAGTTATTCATTTCATGGCCATTCATGGAACCTAGTTATTGTTACGTTCAAGAGACGGCACCCTGAGCCAGATAAATCTAATCTACATCCTCATATCACGGTTCTCTGAGATCCATTTTAGTTTTACATTTTCATCAACACCGAGTTCTCACGAATTCTATCCTCTCGTCAGATTTTCGTACTAGAATTCCGGATGTAGTTATAACATTTTTCACACGTGTTCGGCCCATATCATTCTCCTCAAATTCATTGGCCGGGGTAACTCAATCGGCCTAGCAGTTAGGCTATTGGGTAGACGACCGGGGTTTGATTGCTGGGAGGGACAAGAGATTTTTCTCTTCTCCAAAGAGTCCAGGACGGGGCTGGAACACGCCCACTCTCCTATCCAAAGGGCTCTGTTCCCGGAGGGGGGAAGCGTCATGGTCGTGAAGTTGACCATAACCACTAACTAGTGCCGACTACTTCCCCTTGTGCCTTCATGGCACAGCGCCTAATCACATGAATAAGTACAGGAATACATTTACCTTCAGCAACACGTGACGAAGAGTTTATAGCATGAAGCTCCTCTTTACGCAGATCTACAGTCAAATCAGATGTTCTCGTCGGGACCCTGGTCTCTCATTCCTCTCGAGCCAACTGTAGCGGATAGAGGGTGTCGCACTAATTTCGCTGACAAGTGGCGGTCTCTCGGTCGGTATAGTTCGCTTGAGGACTAAAGCCACGGAGTTTATTTTATTTTATTTTTTTTTGTTCTTCTCGAGCCAACTTTAGCGGATGGGGGTGTCGCACTAACTTCGCTGACGAGTGGCGGTCTCTCGGTCGGTATAGTTCGCTTGAGGACCAAAGCCATGGAGTTTATTTTTTGTTTTTGTTCTTCTCGAGCCAACTTTAGCGGATGGGGGTGTCGCACTAACTTCGCTGACAAGTGGCGGTCGCTAGGTCGGTATAGATCGCTTGAGGACTAAAGCCACGGAGTTCATTTTTTTGTTTTGTTTTTGTTCCTCTTGAGCCAGAAATAGGGAGTACCGCTATTGACTGAGACCAACTTAGTAGGCTTTTATCTGAGGAAGCAGGCAGAGTCCAGTCTCTGGAACGTTGTTTTAAGTAGATACAGGGAGATGCATAATGTCATTGTATTAATATACAATCGTCACGAAATTTTAGATGTTTTCACAATCCTACGAATATTTTGTGTAGACCAATTTTGTATTTAGACAGATGGTTAAGGCAAAATATTGTGATAGCAAGTTATGTCTTAAGACATAGTTTATCTGTGGGTCGCGAACCCCCCCCCCCTCCAAGTTTCATTTCGCTTAGTGGTAGCTGGAATCCTACTGGGTCCACTCGGCACGGCAGCCACTGATTGGCCTATTGTAGCCTGCCCTGGGTGATTATGATGATGGAGAATTTGGTGGATTTATCGCGTATTCTAGGATCGTGGTATCACAAAACCCTAGAAATTGTTTAGCTTAAAAGAAATGTATTAGGACGAAGATGAAGGGTTACATATTCAGGAAACTTTAATAAATATACTTCTTAAGGCCAAGAAATATCTACCGCAAGAGGAGATTCTCACCAAATATGAGGGATCTAAAACACACAAACGCCTACACAAACCTTCGAATTCCAGGTAAGATCTCTTTGACCAGGCGGATGCAAACATAGACCACGAGCCCTTCCGTATATGTGGTTTATGATGACTGAGTTCGGTCCTGACATCCAACACAACTGTGGAAATTAAGAAATATTATTCATAATAATGGCCGATCGCAGTGGCCGCGCGGTCTAAGTCATGAAATGTTTTCGCTCGCACGAACACTGGGGTTATGGGTTCGAATCCTACTCGAGGCATGAATGTTTGTCTACGTCTATTCTGCGTTTGTATTGCCCTGTGTAGGTAGCGGCCTAGCGACAGCCTGATACTCCGTCCAAGGAGTCCTACCCACTGTGTATAAGAGAAACTGACTGACTGACCGCCCGTCGCAATGTGACTTTGACTTTAACTTGAGTTCAGTTGAGTTCTGCACGGGAGGCTGTGAAGACAGGACCTGAGCGCTTCGAGCTGTGAGAGCCTGACAGGGAACGGCTTGTGACGACACAGCAGGCTGGAAAAGGCTTGGCGGGTGCTGTGTTGACTTGTGAACTGTGTAGTTTAGCGATGGTACTGTAATTGCTTTTATTCAAGTCGTGTGTATAAGTAGTTAATAAATCCATTCACCAATCCAAACCCCGTCTATAGCCACACGCACACTACTGCGCATCTGATAATACACAGTGAAGAAAATACAAAATTGGGTGTGGATGTAAACGAATGAGATAAAATCAGCTTCTGTTCTTTGTTGTAGATGTTAATTTATTCGGCGAAAACAAATACTGCTCGTAATTACAAAGGAAGCACAGTCGTTCTGTTAGGAACTACGAGCAATGAGGAGGCTAGGCAAGAAGCAAATGCGGACAAAACCAGAGCACACAGAAGGTTAATGAATCCTTCAGTACTGTGGCAAAACTAAAAATTGTGGAACAAATGGTAATGAATTATAAGTGCATTGACGAATAAATTAGGAGCAGGATAAATTTGAGAGAATGCTTACTAATGCTCACTACAAAATCTATCTCTCGTCTTCCTGTATTCTATCTATAAACGTAAGGCAAAGGTAAAGTTACTTAACTAAGCACTACGCCATACGGCCCCGCCATAGCTCAAGCGGTTAGTCGCTGGCTTCCCACTGCGGCGGCCCGGGTTCGATTCCGGGGGTCTGGTCAAGTGGGATTTGTGGTGGACAAAGTGGCGCTGGGGCAGGTTTTCTCCGAGTACTTCGGTTTCCCCTGCCAAGCTTCATTTCACCAATTGCTCCACAATCACCCTCACCTATCATCTGTGGCTGGTACAATAGGCCAGAAGTGGCCGCAGTACAAGGGACTTAGTCCCACCCCACTAGCAATAAAAAAATGCACTACGCCATGAAGGCGTATGGGGGAGTGGATGTATAGATCCACATTTTCTTAACCTCTTCACTAGTTGGAGGTGAGTGGTCAGCTTCACGCACGGGCCACTTTACCCCGGGGAAAGGGCCCCCGGTACCCATTGAATAGGAGACTGGGTGGACCCGAGGGCCGGTCTGGACGACGGGGAAAAAAGAAAATTCTTTAGCTTACCGGGACTCGGAACCCCGACCCCTCGGTCGTCCAGGGCGTAGCCAGTCGCTATACTAACTGTGCTATCCCGGCTACATCTACAAACGTAAACTTTCAAATAATCCAAACTGTAATCTTTCCGTTTCCTGTGGGTGTGAAACTTGGTCTCTCTGCCTAGAGAAATAATTCTGATTAAATTGTCTGAGAACCGAGAGCTGAGGAGACTGAAGAAAACTGCATAATAGTGAACCTTACGCTTTGTAGACTCGTTATTCACCAAATACAATTTTTTTTTTCATTGGCACTACAGCCCTCATTTGGGCCTAGCCCTACCTCCATGAAACTCTCCGTTTCACTTCGGTTTACTAGATCTTACACATACGGTAGGACTCCTTGGGCGAGTGATCAGCTCGTCGCAAGGCCTCTACCTGTAGACAAACACAGAAAAACGCACACAAACATCCATGCCCTGAGTGGGATTCGAACCCACGATCCTTTCTTCCGAGCGAGCGACGACAGTGCATGACTTAGACCGCTCGGCTACCGTGACCGGCCAAATACAATTTTAGGGCGATAAAATTAAGAAACAAGGAGATGGGCAGGGCAGGTACAACGCATAGGAGAGATAGTAAATGCAAACAAAGCACTGTTTAGTTACACAGTGAGACATTTAGGTCATTATATTTACCTGCCACCCATCTCATACTTCGTGGGGTGATCACCAAAAAGTACACTGCGCACTTTATTCTAGTTTCCGGTTATTCCCGCTTTTCATATTTACATATTCTCTTCAGCATCCTGTTCTCTGACATCCCAATCTATGCCTCCCCCCCCCCCTCCTCCGGACAGAATGAGAGACCAAGTTTCACGTACGTATAAAACAATCTTCGAGCTTCTACATGCTAATTGAAAAACAAAAATCTTCACGATACGGCAAGAGAGCTGAGCTAACCTGTCTGCTTTAGCTAAACAAACCATGTATAAATGTAGGGTAAAACGTCAGGTAGGGTGTCTGCTGTGGGGCGTTTGGGAGGGGAGGCTGTAAGGACTCATTGGCCTATTCTCATTTCACAATTAATTACGAAATTTTGAATGTTGTAGACAGTTGGTAGGGCTTCTTGGTTGGGGAATCAGCCTGTCACAAGGCCGTTACCTACACAGAATAACACAAACACAGAAAAACAGCCTTGAGTGGGATTCGAACCCAAGATCCCAGTGTTTGGGCGGGCGAAGACAATTCGTGTCTTAGACCGCACGGCCACTGTGGTCGGCTAACTTCATTATTCGATGCTGTATAGTCTTGGCATATTGAATTCGTCATTACATAGACCATAAATAAATGAAATAAGTGTAGATCGAGTGGTATTGTTCCTTCTGCGAGCGCGTCAGGATGAAAAATGTAGTGTGAAACCAGGCCTGCTGCTACGTACGCCTAGTTTGTGCCTTCCCCTCCCATCTCACAGTCACGAGAGAACCGCTACGTTGCTTTGTGGTACTACAGTCATCTCACGGAAGAAAGACTTCATTAGCTCGGTTCCATTCAAGAGTAGATGAGATCGAATCGACGGAAAACAGATTGCCGACACTGTCGGACCAGGTTGACAAACAGAGACTGTTTGTCTTATTCTCTGTTTGTCCTACTTATACCCGAAACACTGACGTGGCTTTAGGAACAACGCCAGGCCTTTGTGTACAGGGGTGGGGTTGTGTGTTCAATTCCTAAGCCCCCCCCCCAGACTTCTGCAAACAAAGTATCTCTTTTAAGAAGACATTACAATTTAAAAGATGTGCTAATAAAGGAAAAACATATTTACTCGTATATTAAAAGGGCTTATGTTCTGCGGTCGCTCGGTCGGTATAGTTCGCTTGCGGGCTACAGGCCACGGAGTTTTAGTTTTTTTTTTTGTTTTGTTTTGTTTTTTCAATTGACCTAATCCTTCCAGCTGCACTATGGCCCTGAGGTCGACTCAGCCTCTAACAGAAATGAGTACCAGGAATATTCTTGGAATATTCTTGGGGGTAAAGGGCGGCCAACCATTCCGCCATCTATGAGCCGATTGTCTAGAAAATGTGGGAACCTCAACATCTCACAACCCTATGGGCCACCACGGCCTGTTACATGGATGATTTTACTTTTACTTTTTACTTTAGTTAGTTTTTGTATGAATCTGTGAAATGAAACGATGTGTTCGATGAACTTTCCGAAAGGACCCCGTACAGCCGGCAAGCATCGTTGTATCCCAAGAGCGTTAGGACCTACTGTTTGTGTTCGGATAATGGGCTTCTGGGTTGTGACACAGTGCAGTACGTGTGACTTCAACGCTTTGGAGGAACATGTCCCCGTCATAAGGTTTGACGTGGGTAGGACGAGGATGCCGGGCACTAAGCCCACTGGGGCAGAGCTTTGTCACTCCAGTCCTGGATAATGGCAGGAGTATGTTCCTTCGAAAAATCTTGTATCTATCTACAAGAGACCACTACTATGGTGAAGCCCAGAAACGTATGGCAAGTAGGTAAGGATTTGATAGGAGACATTGGTAGCTATTTGAAGGCACAATTCTCTAATCCGCCTCGAGATAAAATAGAACGAAGAACAACTGCAAGTTTCGGTCTCCGAACCGAGGTGAAAACCTAAGACATAACTAATGTGAAACAGAAGCGCTAACCAAAACACCGCGACTTTCGGATATTACTGCAAACTAATGCGAGTAAAGTTCTGTAGAAACAGATGGTTATGACGCGCTGTTGCTGCTTCTAGATATTCAGTTTTCGAGTTACGAGATACGGGCAGAAAAATCCTCCTTGTTTAACCATCCCGAAAACCGTAGGACTTCAAGGAAAAATTGTATTGAATATGAAATATGTGTTTCATTTTTCTCCACAATTTTGTGCCAAACAATTTTTACCCAGATAAATATTTAGTAAGACGCGCCATGCCGAGCACAGACAATCACGTAGGTCTCCTATAGCGTCCATGTTATTGCCGAAATCAGATACAAATAACTGTAAAAGATTTTATAAAAAACTCCTAATACCAGATTTCGTGAAAACCCCTTCAGAAGTTCTTACACGAGGACAGACAGAAAAACATGGTTAAGCTATAAGCGGTGCATTATTGCATCTTTTCGTTGCGAAGGCGCTAAATAAAGAAATGCTTGTTACTGTAAGTTCCTGACGTTTAACTTGATTGTTTCATCCACAGAACAGGTGTTGGGCAGTGTCAAGGACTCTCGTGGACTGTTCTCTCCTCGGATGGAATATGACGAGTGGACGCCGCTCGGACGAGGGGACCCACTGAAGAATGACCCAACTTACGATTATGTACCTCCAGTTCTGGAAAGAGTCCATTACTGGATCGAGCCATCATCTCGGACTCCAGATCCACCGATTCCGACTATTGGACACGCTTCGAAAGAACCGGAAGTCAGCCTAGTATCTCACAAGAGACCCAGTGGCTTTCATAGAGAGACAGATAATTCGTCAGCGAACTCCAGGAGAGACATATACGATCCTATCTTTCTTAAATTTGTAGATGGACCAACATTTTCCACACAGCATCGAAATCAGCACTACATCTACCACCACCACTACCTTAAACGACCTTCATCTACAGCTTCACAGGAGCCAAAGGGTGCAGCATCCGTTCATTACATCTCTCCGTACCACTCGTCATACCAGCAGAAGAATCGCCCGAAAGAAAGACCACATGAAAGCCACCCTCTAGCTGAAAAGCCCTATCAGAAAGAGAACCATAGAACAACAATTGAGTCATCAGAGCCATCAGCGAAGGACCATACGGAAAAGAAACAGCTCAAACCATCTTTCGAGACTCCCGATTTCCAAACGGAATTGCATATTCATAAAGAAGAGAACCAACAACCGAGACCCCCCTACACAATGCTGATGCCTCCACCTCTGCAAATAGCAAATTCTTTTACAAGTATGTCAGACACCCAAAAACTGCTTAAAGTGGCAGAAATAAATAAGATAACGACACAAGCCCCGTCAAGAGCACACCCTTCTGTTACACATTCCAATCTTGTGCACCAGCAATCATCCATTTTAGCCACGCTCGAGTGGGAGGAAGGAAAGACTCAGCTAGCAACCCTGGCAGCAGCTAGCAGTCAGATGCCCTGGAAGGTGTCGACACCTGCTAAACACGATAAATATCCTTCCGGTAACCTTCACCATGGATCATTCAGTGCTACAACTGTCCAGAATCCTTCGCCAAACTTTGAAGTGATACCATCAACGGAGATACATTTCAACGACGGTAACAACGTAAACGTCCCCACACACCAACAACACTCGCAATGGAGTTCAAACCTGGTGACAACAACAGCGACGAGTACTGCAGCAATGACAACGGCTTCTCCTCTGACAACAGACCCACTGTTTTCGCACTACAAGCAACCGGTAGAACCACTACGAGGTCCGATGTATCTCATCATACAAGGGCATTCTAAAGTTAAAACATACGGGGCCATTAAACAGCAGAATTCTTATCACGGTATTCCAATACAAGAAAGTAACGATATTAATCAACAGGGCGGTGATGAGCATAGCAATGACAGGGTCGGTAAAGCACTACAAGATTATACTGGGAACGGACCAGATGAAGACCACATCATTAATTCAGGGAAAACAGAAGCTGCATACCTACAAGTTCAAGATAATTTTGAATTCTTAACGAAAACCAGCGCAGATAATAACAAAACAGAAGATTTTAATCTTAGACACGCTGCAACAAAAGCCTGGCCTTTCACTGACAAAGATGGAATTCCCACAGAGAAAAATCGACTGATGAATTTGGCTGATATCAGCCCACTTCGCTATGATACTGCTGAAGAACTTATCGGAGAGTTCCGGAGAGGACAAAAGTCAGGGGTCTGCTAACGGAGCACACTTACAGCGCCCCCGTAATCGGATTCTTCAGTTGCTTGCACAGCTTGAAGAGTGCTGACGTGTTTAACTGCAGAAACTATTTCTCAGCATCCGACAATGAAACTGTTACACTATTGCGCTAATGAGTGTAGGGGACCAGCAGACCCATGCAGAAGGTCTCGAGTTCGAGACCATAGGGATTTAGTGTGGATTACTCCATAAATCTAACAAAACTTTGTCAGGAGTAACAAGCCCCACAATGTCACCGTGTTAGAAATATTCGTTAAGCTGTCAGTCTCCTCTACCAGCCATTATTTTCAATACCATCCTTTCGCAGGTAGAAAGACAGATATCCTGCGAGTGAATGCTCCAGTGTACGCTGTGAACTCACACTTTGACCACGGCCAGGAGAATAGAGCTCAGAGTGGACAGAGAACACATCCTAAGGCATAACCTACAAACAGCAATGTTGCTTTTTAGTCCGGATACTATGATTAAAGAAACAATCCTGTCCACTTATATCTATTGATAATAACGGAATATCTGCCGTTTTATGATTCCAAAAACTTCATTATGAGGCGACGTCAGCAATTCAAATTAACTCGTAATAGATACAGTCTCCGGGGTTGGAAGAATTTTATTCCAGCCCATATAGACGAAGTGTTCAGTCATTGCAAGAGAGTGCCCAGTATACAACTTTCGTTACAAATACTGGCAGTATTTATAGGGAGTGAATATTTATGATGTATATTAAATATTTATTGCTTTAAACCCATAATTTTATAAGACCCTATTTATATGTTAAAATTTGTTCTATTAATTTTTCTTATTTAGTGTGATATGATTTTCGCAACAGGCTTATTTTTTACGGTGACGAGTTGTTAGCCCCANGCTAGGGAGTATCATCGCACTCAAGGACAAACATAGATAAGGGCTCTCAGCTGAGAGGTACAGCGAGGTACAGTGCTTGGACCTGCCAGAAGACCACACTTTTCTTGGGCCATTATCTCCGTAACCGTTCAACTTTGGACATAGGTGTTTTGGGTTATATCGGCATACTTTAACATAAGGAACACCCTCCCGAAGTTTGGCACATTCCTCCTGGGACACCCTGTATATATATATATATCCTTGCAGCCGCACTACGGCCCTGTGGTTGACTCAGCCTCTAACTGAAATGAGTACCAGGAATATTCTCGATATATTCTTGGGGGTAAAGGGCGACCGGCGTGTAAGGCTGACAACCTTGCCGCCATCTGTGAGCAGATTGTCTACAAAATGTGGGAGCCTCAACATCTCACAACCCTATGGGCCTCTACGGCCTGTTACAGGGATACTTTTTTTTATTGCTAGTGGGGTGGGACTAAATCCCTTGCACTGCGGCCACTTCTGGCCTATTGTACCAGCCCCAAATGATAGGTGAGGGTGATAGTGGAGCAATTGGTGGAATGAAGATTGGCAGGGGAAACCGAAGTACTCGGAGAAAACCTGCCCCAGCGGCACTTTGTCTATCACAAATCCCACTTGACCACACCCGGGATCGAACCCGGGCCGCCGCTGTGGGAAGCCAGCGACTAACCGCTTGAGCTATGGCGCGGCCCAGGGATACCTTTATTTTACTTCTTACTTTTTAAACCAAGTACAGACCAGCTCAGAGATCAAAGATGAGCAATTCTTTTTTAGCGTGGCGTCAGAGATTATTTCGAAGTAACCGTGGGCCGGAGAATCTCACAAGAAAAAATGTGCACCAAACCACTTGCGGCGGACACGGTAACGTAGTTGGTTGAGGCTCTATAATACAAGTTCGTGGGTTTGATTCCCGATGAGATCATTGGATTTTTCAATTGAGCTAACCCTTCCAGCCGCACTATGGCCCTGGGGTCGACTCAGCCTCTAACAGAAATGAGTACCAGGAATCTTCCTGGGGGTAAAGGGCGGCCGGTGCGTAAGGCTGACTTCGCCGCCATCTGTTAGCGAATTGTCTAGAAAATGTGGCAACCTCAACATCTCACAAACCTATGAGTCTCCACGGCCTGTTACACGGATACTTTTACTTTATCTTTTATTTATTAGGAAACGTTATGAAAATGTTTTGATATCACACAAATAAAACAAAATTCTCTTTTCTAATAAACATATCTAAATTACTTTTCCATTTGAAGTTGGAGAAGTCTTACAGGTCTAAAAATGTAACAAGGTACGAATAAAACGATGTAATGCAAGATAATCCTCTACTATCCTTACAGACTTCTCTCGACTCACAAAATCCACAACAAAATTACGGATGTCATATTATTGTGGGGGGGGGGACGTCAGATAATTGCACAGTAGTCCCAACTGTCCCATAGAGAGAGCTAGACCGACTGCACTGTATGCTTTCTGTCCAAGTTTCCAAAGTGAAATGTATCAAGAGTAAGGGAATATCTTGGCTACGACATAACTCAAGCGGTTAGTCGCTGGCTTCCCACCGCGGCGGCCCGGGTTCGATCCCGGGTCTGATCAAGTGGGATTTGTGGTGTACAAAGTGGTGCTTGGGCGGGTTTTCTCTGAGTACTTCGGTTTCCCCTGCCAATCTTCATTCCACCAATTGCTCCATCATCATAATCACCCGGGGCAGGTTACAGTAGCCCAATCAGTGGCCGCCGTGCCGAGTGGACCCAGCTGGACTCCCTCCCCCCCACTAAGCGAATTAAAAGGGGGGGGGATATCTTGCTGAAAACTACAGTGAGTTAATAGCAATAAAAAATCTACTGTTCGCTAATAACCCTCTGGCCTTCAAGGCATCCTTAGCATTGCAGTACAAGACAATTCAGGGTAGATGTACTCTCGCATCTTTGCAAACTTATAAACCTGTTTCCTTTTGCACAACACGTCTTTACACTCTCTCCGTCTTTTGCCATTTGAACTTCAGGATTTGCTGGATCGTCTGCAAAAATATGCCGTAAATAAACTCAAAGAGTAGTCTGTTCCATGGCTTTTCAATGAGACTGTACCCATTATACGCCTCCCTACTACAAAAAGTAGGAAATATGTTACTGTTACTAGGTGCTAATTTAAGTAGTTACTTAACCAACATAAATACCAGGCAGCAACTACAACAAGGCATGAAGAGGCAAGGCTCAAGTACAGGCAGAAAGAATGCTTCTGCAGTGTACAATTGCACAGTTCGTAGCCTGAAACTCGTATGTAAAGTGATATGTGAGACTGGCGATATGTGGCGAAGTTCAAATGTCTGGGAACGACAATAACAAATGAAAAATGCATTTATGAAGAGATTAAGAGTAGGTTAAATTCGGGGAATTCTTGTACGATTTGAGGCTTTCACGGCGGTGACTATGAAGAAANACTTAATGTTTGTTAGTTGTGTTAAATAACTTAATGGTTTTAGCCTAAAAGTAAAACTAAACCCTGAGCTGTCTGACGTACCAATAAGCACAGGCCTGCTGATCATGACTTCAATACCTTGTCACAGCCCTCTGAGGCAGAATGCTGATTATACTGAAGGGCTGTAAATGTATTCTGTTAATGAAATATGTATTTTTGGAATAAAAGTGAAGTACGAGTTATTTTTAAAATTTCCCAAGAAACAGGAGACTAGAGTTAGTTATATATTCACAATTTGCACTCAGCGTAATAAGCCTACTACTGGGCTACCATACCATGGAGGATGAGATTGGCGTTATGTGCAGCACGCGGAGGGAATTAGATTAGAAATACAGCCTACATCAAATTTCAGTTCTAAAACTTAAAATGATGAAATAATTTGGGAGCACTAGAAGACTGTCCTCCTTCAGGGTCAAAGAATAAGCCAAGGATGCAAGCAAGTAGTGAAAAATTGCTCCTTGCTTCCTTGGTTTACTATTTGACACTGAAGACGGAAGCAGTAGACTCTTACGAAATGTTGGTAAGTTTTCTGTTAGACTACACGGCGCTTCATATTTCCTACTACTTCAAATCAACTGAATTGCCAAATCTGTGACCACTGTGATGAATGTCCGGCTTCCTTGACCAGCTGAGCAACTACCATTTTTTTTTCAGAAATACCCTGCATCTATACAAGAAATCGAATGACTACTGATGAGTAATTTTCGACCATAATATTATGAAGCGTCACTTAATATAGAACATTTAAATTATTTTTAATGTAAGATTTATAAATGTTATGGGTTTACTGACTTAAATATTAGTAAAATAATTTGAATATAATCTTTTTATTTATTTATTTATTTGTTTATTAGTGTATACAGGTAAGATAGCAACAAATTCGTAATTTTAAGTATGGCTCTGATGAAATGTCAATGTAAAATATATGCTCACTAATTTATTGGCGTATTTTCAGAAAAGCTTCAAAAGATTTTGTTAGTTTTATTTTAGAATAGTTTGCTCGTATGTGGAAATATATTTACGCATTTCTTAACGTTCTTAAATTACGTCTTATCAAGCAGTAGTGCTCTAAATTGTATTAAGGGCGATGCTATCATAACTCACGTGTCTGATGCAAAGGATTTAGATGTTTAGATTTCACTATGCTCTGCTGCATATACTGTCTAGATTCTAGAGTGCAGAATTTAATTCAAATATTTGGTAAAAGAAATTTATAAATTTCTTGGGTCTACATCTCTTGAACTTTATATGACATATGTACACATGTATTAATACTACTCTCTATGATTTGCAAGTGAAAATCGAAAAAAAAAAATTGTACTGTATTTCCCTAGATATTACCTGTATATAAATAATTACATGATTACAGAGCCTATAATATGAATCAATCAAATAGCTTCTGTTTAAGTTACCAAGTGTTACACATGTTATTTTGTTCTCGAAAGCTCATTTCATCGTGTCAGTTAAATATGTCAACAATGGCCTAATCATACTGATCTGTTTTTCTGATTTCTGTACCATGTACCTGAAATATATTGTACATAGCTTTTATTCTATCATTCTTTATGGTAGGGATTTGTAAAATATTATAATATACCGAGACTCAGTTGTCGTACAATATTAAAAAATAAATGGCCTCTCAAATTACAGAGTAAATTTCAACAAACGACACATTAATTGAACGGTCACAAATTCAGACGTTAATCAGTGACACGATTATTGGTCCTAACAATGAATGAATTTGATGCCTTGTCCTCATTTTCACAACAATGGTAGGTATGTGTAGAAGAAAGAAACTGACAGTGTCCATGCTTACCAGAATCTATAAAAAGTGCTACGTGGTTGCTGTTTGGTCGCGTGTCAACTATAGGAGCTTAATGCGTATATCTGTTTGCTGCAATATAACAGAAAGCTGGTCAAATCACTCATCGACAGGACATTAATGGGGTCATGCGTCACGAAGTACTAACATAGAGTAAGAATACACTGACAACGTTTAATAATATATTTCGTTTCCTACGTGGTAGTTGGTTGAGGCACTATGCTACAAGCCGGAAGGTCAGGGGTTCGAATCCCAATAAGGTCATTGCAGCTTTCAACCTCTAACATAAATGACTACCAGGAATCTTCCTGGCGGTAAATGGAGGCCTGCGTGTAAAGCTGACAACCTTACCGCCATCTGTGAGCAGACTGGCAAGAAAATGTGGAAACCTCAACCTCTCACAACCCTATGGGCCTTCACGGCCTGTTACAGGGACAGCTTTGGGGTCCTCCCAACCTCCTATTCAATGGGTACCGGGGCTCTTTCCCCGGGGGTAAAGCGGCCGGGGAGTGAAGCTGACCTCTCACCTCCAAATAGTACCGAGGTCAAGAAAATAAGGATCTATAGATCCACTCCCATATACGCCTTTATGGCGTAGTGCTTAATTAGTTAAGCACAGGGACAACTTTACCTTACATTTTATTAACAGTTAACTGACTTTCGGGCCAC